CCACCCATTAGTTCGCTACAATATCAATCCTTGTTGAGTAGATTGCTTAACACTCGTCCATCAATTTAACATGTTTTGCACTGAAATGTTCTCATGTGAGTACGTTATAATTACTGTTGAGAGGGTCTTATTTCACACTTCCAGCTCCCAAACATAATATAAAGGAGAAGGAAAGATTACCCTCTTGTTACTTATACGTGGTGTTTCTACAAGTGGTGCTACACCAATATATTGATTTGGGATATATTTCAAGTGGTAGATTTTCTATGCTGATTTAACAAACACTGAAATTCCTGTTTCTTATGTGTTTTGTATATTTTTATTTGCAGGCAACAAAGCTTTGCTGAGTCGGTGCTTCGTCGTCTGGAAGAGAAATAGTTTCAAGATATGCAATTTCATTCCAATTTGTCTTCAAAAGTTCAGCTCAGTGATATAAAAACCGTTCCTTTTGCTGATACGTTTTAGCAAAAGGTACTGATTAGTAACGGGATGGGACAATATGTTTGTTAGTTGTTACCAATTTGAAGAAGAGTGTGCTCGAAAGTCGAAACTGGGTTGTCTTCGTTAGCTTGATTTGCTTTTAATGAACCAGTTTGAATATAGACTGTAAAGATTTCTCTGTTCCTCTGTACATGTAAAATTTTCCTGTATATTCCATTTCATAATTCCGTGGGTTCAAAATGCTTGTAAGCTCACAGGGCAAGCCTTCTACGAGCGAGGTCGAATAAGGAAAGAAGAGTTGCCAAAAGCCTAAAGCTTTCTATTTTTTAATATTCGACTTTCCCATTCATACAATTGTTCATTTATCTTGTTTATTTGTTTGCAATAAGTAAATATTCGAAAATAAAACTCTTTAAAAGTTCAAATTTCAATGGAATAATTACAAATGACGTCCTCAGCTTTTGTGTAATATAGTACTAAGAGGTTCTCAATCTAATATTTTTATGACGTTAATTTACCTTCCAAGTAGCACATGCTTCTATATCTCAAACACGTTCCCCTCGCTGACCATTTTGCCTCCATTTGGCTAGTTTATAAATGATTTAAAAATTAATTATAAACCGAAATAACACATTTCAATTAAACAAAAAGTATTATTCATTTATTTACTATTCGTTTCTACTTATTTATAAATTAAATCATTTAGAAATTCGTAAATAGAGGAAGTAGTATTTTTAATTAAAAAAATTAAAGATTAAAGTATATTTTATAAAATGGACCTCGTATAATTCCTGAAAGGACAATGTTACATGTACATCAAAGATTACATGTTGTTTTACGTAATGTCACATGACATTTTATCATTTATCAACCTAAAACATGGCTAGCTCTTTCATGAAAGTAATCATTGAGCAACAATTGGATTTCGAAGGAACTACTTCGTTAGAAATGGGAAATTGCTGCGATTCTTCTTGAATAGCCTGCAGTGGAGCATGAGGCGCCCCCATAGCCCCAAAAAGGCATTGGGGGAGCCGTAATCCGATCACTGCTCCCCAAAGAATGTGGAAACTTTGAAAGAAAGACGCAAGTTTGAAAGCAAGAGAAAGAAGGTTTCGTTTACCATTGAAACTGAAGCTGGCCTAAAAAGTGCTTGGGCGCTCTAATGTAAGATATAGACTCCATCAGATACATATCAATTTCTTTCCTTTTTGGTGGATCATGAAAAAGACGTGATTGAAGGGAGGATGCCAAAACAAAAGAGAAGGGTGGACACGAAGGAGCGTCTCCAATGAGACCAAGGGCAATTTAGCATCTTTTGAGTTGAAAAGGTCTTTATAGAGCTATGGAGAAGGTTTGGAACTCTCGTAGTAGAATGGAATCAGTTTACCGATTAGGGGGAAAGGGAAAGGTCTACCAGTTGGGAATTAAGACATCAAGTGGCTTATGGGGACCGTCAAGCACATCCAACAAGGATCAAGGGGGATCTTGTTGTTGCATAGCTCAGGTCGGAACAAGATACCCTCGAGCGTGTAATTTTTAAAAACTATTTTTTTTTTTTTGAGTTAAATAGCTTTTAAATAAGCTAATCTAAGATAACTCCTCTAGAAAACTTCTCTACGTAAAATAGAAGCAAAATCAAAATTAAAAGGGCCCTTAATCCTGGCAACTTACATAGTACTATGCATTCAATAATAAACAGTTAAGACCAAAAATGAAACATCATGAATACATCTCAATCGCAGTAAAATAAAATGCAACAATCAGTCAATTATGGCACAGTGTATAATGGACAAGATTCCATGGCCTATGGCTAACACTAAGTAATATTAAATTCTTAGTTTTCTTGGATATTCAAGTTTCAAGCAATCCTTCCAACCTTGCTACATATACATTTTGATTTATACTTTGTCTTGTGGCATTACTCAATTAAATAGTTTAAATTTCAAACAATTTTTTCATTCAATTGATACCTGACAACAATACAAGTGTCAACCAAAGGGTAAAAAATTAGTTTACAAATGACAAATTCCTAATCCTTAATGTAAGAATTAGGGTCCGTTTGATTGTAAGAATAAAATTTGGGTGGAAAGAAAACAAATTTCAAGGAATTGAATTGTCTAAAACTTATTTCATGAAAATTGTCAATTAACGTGTTTGATTGGTATAATTTTTCACCTGAAAAATGTTGAATTTTTTTATCTTTTGTTGTTCGTTTGACTTTATTTTTCATGAAAATTGTTAATTAAATGGACAAAAAAGTAGGAGTGACCATTGTTTTCTTGTAGTTTCCATATGTTAGTGACCTTGTCCACGGAGACTACTTGCATCAGGGTAAAGCCCCCTTAATCTTTGTTACAATTAGGGATAGAATTTATTTCAATTGTCCAAAAAAAAAAGGGTGGAAAACCAATTCCCATGCCAAACCAAACCAAGGAAATTGCACATGTGTAGAGAAAACAAGGAAAATAAATTGACAAGAAAATAGTTGCTATCAAACATGACAAAAGATGGAAAATGAAAAATGTTTTTCATGAAAAATAGTTCAAATCAAATAGACCATAAGTGTAATTTATGAAGCACAATACATAAGTACACATGAAAAAACGTAAATTCTAATAATTGCAATATGCCATCCAATATATGTACACGTGTAAAACCCATAAAGCCACGTGAACTTTATTTATGTTGTTAATAAAATAGTAAAAATAGTAGAGTATTATACGTTGAACCGCAATGTTCTGTCCTCCTCCTCCTCTTCCTCCTCCTCCTCCTTCATATACATATATCTCACTAAAAAAAACAAAAAAAAAGTTTCATTTTCTCAGATAAATACATGATTTCAGATAGAACTCCATAACTGAAAAAAACTACCCCCTCTCTCTACATTGTAAACCGCTCACATTACTACATAAGAGAACCCTACCCCATTTCCTACACTTTTTTACTCAATTTTATGCTCTTACACAAACCCACAAAGAGATGAACATCAACAACTACGTTTTTTCTTCAGATTTTCAGCCTGCATCAATGTCATTTTCTGTTCAAGAAACTTGCCCTAGAATTGAATCCGAGAGTCCTGGCAGCGGTTTTTACAGTTTAAACCGCCATCAGAATCCCAGAAAGAAGCGCACCAACATTATCGGAATCGATAATTCTCTTGGCGTCAGAAAGCCTAAATGTTCTAAGAAACCAGACCCTAATGCTCCCAAGATCACAAGGCCGTGCAGTGAGTGCGGCAAGAAATTCTGGTCTTGGAAGGCCCTTTTTGGGCACATGCGGTGCCACCCTGAGCGCCAGTGGCGCGGGATTAACCCGCCGCCCAACTTCCGGCGGTTAGAAACCCTTACCGCTTCCGTCAGCACTGATCGGGAAGCCACCGCCTCTGGTGTGACGGAGGAGGATCATGAGGTGGCTTCTTGCCTACTAATGTTGGCTAATGGTGTTAGTTCTACTGCTGCTGTTTCTGAGTCACCATCTGTGACTAATATTTGTAGTACTGGAGTATTGGAATCTGATAGTGTTGGTGGTGGTGTTGGGGTTGAGAATTTTCGATTCGAGTGTTCGAGTTGTAAGAAAGTGTTTGGCTCTCACCAGGCATTAGGTGGTCACAGAGCAACTCACAAGAATGTCAAAGGTTGTTATGCAATTCACAAGAATGTCGAGATCGGAGATGAAGAAGAGCAAGAGCAAGAACAAGAACAAGACTGGATTCACAATGGAAGCCACGTTGATCAATCAATATTAGATGTGATGGGCCACAAATGCAGTATCTGTTTTAGGGTTTTTTCAACAGGTCAAGCCCTAGGTGGGCACAAAAGGTGTCATTGGGAGAAACTATCAGAAGCAGCAGCATCAGGTTTAGGACTCAACCCTGCTGAACCCAAGGAGGCTAATTGTGGTTTGGATTTGGATTTAAATTTGAATTTGCCTGGTTCAGCACCGGCCCCGTCCCGAGTACCAGTTCATGAAGATGATGTCTCTTCATCTGCTTCATTTTATTCTTCAGGTCTGGAATTGGATTTAAGGTTAGGACTTTGAAGAAATTATGTCAAGTGCTTAATATCTAGCTAGGGTTTAGTTGTATTATTTTGTATGACTATTGAAGTGAATAGTGGAAGATTAGACATACAATACATGTATACTAGTCACTGCACTTTGTCTTGCATTCAATAAAACAAGTTTATTGTATGTGGCCTTGTGTGATTAGGATTAATTCTCAATACAGCGATACATATATTTTGTGTGTTAATTCTTGAAGTAGAAGAGGAGAGAATGAAAAATAGCCTCTTTTGATAATTGTCAAATATGATTTTTAAAATTTTTCACTGAAAAATAGCCTCTTTTGATAATTGTCAAATATGATTTTTAAAATTTTTCACTGCTCCATCGTAGCTCAGAAATCTTTTGAGGGGACGAGGAACAAGAGTAGGGATGATAGAAGAAGTTACTAAATTTTTTATTAAAATCTAAATTAAAGTGAACAATTAATTTTCACCTTTGATACCCACAAATTCCAACTTTTATCAAAATTTACAACAAATATGAGTTTTATCTAAACCAAACAAGGGCAACTTTCACTAAAGGTTAATTAGAGGTTTACTTTAAAGCTTAGCTAAACATGTGAGTATTTCATTTTTAGCACAACAAAGTGTTCACGCTACAGAATAAGACCTTTTAAACAAAAAAGAATTGTAAAACACTAAATATTAATTACTGAAGAAGGTAATAATATATGTATAGACCACATTGTAACATACAAAGGAAATTTTGTTATACTGAGGAGTCACGACCCAACCCTATACACTCTTAAATGTGCTTATAAGCACCTTAAAGAAGGGATCGTTCTTGACACGAATAACATAAGTACATATCCCCTCTATATACAGTCCCAACTCCAAGCAACATAGTACAAAACTGCATTTCAAACTTCACTAAGCACTGGATAGCAATGACGCAGCAATAGACCACGAATATCCCACCAATCAAGGATGCATTGCCTCTCACAGCAGTAATCAAGAATACGTCCACCAATATAATCAAGATGCAGCTTGAATAATTGCCTGTAGGTTGTGCTGTTAATGCATTAGCTCGCTAAGAAAACCACAAAACATTTATAAAAGTTTTCGGCATTGAGTTCCTTGTGTAGACAGTTGCTCCATTTGGTTTGCTTTAGCAGCTGCAGGGCTCCTGCCAAACTGGATGACAATAGGCTTGCCCTTAAATACATAACCATTCACTGCATTCTGCAGTTGATTATAATGAGAGTGGATTTGGCTTCATGAATGCTCCCAAAAATTGATCCTGTAGAAGGTCATGGTAAGATAACCTAAAGCAAAAAGTCTTTGCAACGAGCATTCATTATATGTGCAGTGTAAAAGCAAAAGGGTGGGTGGTTCGAGTTTTATTTTTCTTTTCATTTTTTCCTTTTTTCAATATGATAGCTATGATGCGGAATGATTGCTACCATAATAAAAGGGTAAATAAATAGAGCTGAAGGAGAATGAAAGTTTAAACTCACAAAAAATAAAATAGAAGTCATCGACAACATCATCCTTTGCCAAGTTCTTTATGAACAAAACAAAAGCAGGATTTCCCGCAGCATAATTCTGCAAGCAACTGAGGAGGTTAAAAAATAAAACAAAGTCGAACTCAAAAGAAAGAAACATCATATATACACTCAGATGATCCACCATCCAGAAATTAATAATTTAGGACGTGTATTTAAAAACAAAAACATTTCCCTTTTCTCTTTGTCACCACAAATTATACGGAAAGAGAACTATGTAAGTCCTGCAGTTCATATTATAATCTTTGCATGGAAAAGTATACACACCGTTTTTGTTAAAATATAATTTTTTCCCTCATCGCATAGACCATGTACAAGTAATAAATAATAAATCCTACAAAATCATGCAGCACTACTTTCCATAACATTTATAGGATCCTACAAACAATTAAATGGAACTTTTTTCCTCAGAAATTGGACACTCTTGTCAAATAAAAATACAAACTCATAAAAAAGAATGTCTCGTGAAGTAGTAAACACAATTTCATATTCATGTTGTTGCCAATTAAACAAAACATTGATCTTTACATATATCAATGCAAAAAAAAATAGTTCATGCATATTGGTTTCTTTGCTGAAATAATTGACACGACAAGGAAATGCAATCGATACCTTAAACATTGGAAGTGATAAAAGTTCCTCTACGGGAAATTTTCCAAGATTTAGTTCCTCTAGGGTTGCATAAGGTTTATTATCACACCTCTCTTTGTCCGGCTCTGGCGATTCCATTGTGGAACCAGCGTCCTTTGATTCAGTTTTAACGTGTTTTTAGGTGCTATTTTTATCTGCAAACATATTCACCAATCATAACGTTACATCCTTTTAAAAGGAAAAGATCGTCTATCCATAGTCTCTCAAGGTTGATGCTAACACCTGTAGTATAGACTTCTTCTTTGGAATGAAGGCAGATGCTTTCAATCCAACAGCCTCATGAGCAACATCCTTGTCAACTGCAGGACCTAAAATAGCTTGTCGCTTCACACGCTTCCTTTTAAGTCCAATTTCACCTTGTACTTCCTAAATATCAGTAAATTACAAAGTTGGGATCTGCTCAGTGATTTAAAAGAGAATACAAAAGTTGAATGACAAAAAAAGATAACAAAAAGGAAAAGGAGACAGAACCAATGGAAATCAATGAGGCAGCAATGTCTGCAAAATCCAAGCAACTCATATTTGAAGGTTAAAATGGACAAAA